TAGGCACGCCTTTGATATCTTAAACTATTTAGATAGAATGAAGGAGAAAAGGTGATTGAGATGGTAAATTCTTAAACTATTTCTTGGAGGTCACTCAATGCTTTCCTCATCTATTCACTTTCTCTTCTGTAACAAAATAAACGTGAGATTCCCTAATACTTCTGTATTATTTTCCTAAGGATACCATGACAAATTACTACAAACTTGGATGGCTTAAGACAATAGAAATTTATTCTCTCATAGTCCTGGAGGATAGAAGTCTGAAATCAAGATGTTAGCAGAGCCATGCCCCCTCTGAAACTTATAAGGGAAAATTCTTCCTTGGCTCTGCTAGCTTCTGCTGTTTGTCAGCAACCCTTGGCTTGTAGATGCATCAGTCCAGTCTGCCTCCACCATTCACACGGCTGTCTTCTCCCTATGAGTCTGTCTCTTCTCTTAAATATAGCAGATATTGGATTAAGGACCAACCCTACTCCAGTATGAACTCATCTTAATTAATGATATCTGCAATGACCCTATTTCCAAATAAAGTCACTTTCTGAGGTACTGGGAGTAAAGACTTTGACATATCTTTTTGGGGGACACAATTTTTTTTTTTTGTCTTTTGTCTTTTTCCGTGTCCGGCAACGGATCGCAACCCTCAGTGTTGCCCCCGTACCAGACCGGGGACCGGCAACGGGATTGCAACCCTCGGTGTTGCTCCCGCGCCTCGCTCAGCCAGTGAGTGGGAACCGGTCTGTATGTGGGATCCGAACCCTCGGGCGGGAGCGCCGCTGCGCTTCCCAAGCGGCGCACTTATCCAGTGCGCCACCGGGCCGGCCCCTGGGGGACACAATTTAACCTAAAACTTCTTATACTAGAAACTTAAGTTTGTGCAGCCTGTCTTTCCCGTGGCAAATTAAGAAAATAATTTAAATAACAACCTCATAGATACTAAATCTGAAGAAAGGCCTACCTGATTTTGATCTAATAAAAAACTTGACTGTACTTGATATGATTTTTGTCTTCATCTTTTTATACAGAAACTCTCTCTTTAAAGGAACCATCCTTTTACCACAATTAATTCTAGATTCCTTCTGGGAATTTAGAACTAAATGATTCTTGTTCAGTCTAGCCTCACTCTTGCATTGAGATGTATATGCACAAAGTATTTGCTGTGGCCTTCTCTTAACAACGTGGACTGGGGAAGAGGTCCATGTGCAAAGGAAATAAAGTAGGTGCACAGATAGAGCCAAACAGCAAGAGTCTTGATGCATTTGATTCTTAGGTGTCAATTATTCCTGGGCCCAGGTGCACTGCTGTTCTTGGGTTCTGTGAGTTACTCTGTATCCTCATAACTTTTAAAAAATTTTTGACAGCTGGCCAGTATAGGGATCCTAACCCTTGACCTTAGTGTAATAACACTGTGCTCTAACCGAGGCCAGCCCCTTTTTTAAAAGGTAGCTTGAGTTAGGTTTCAATTATTTTAGGAAGCAATTTTCTCAGTGCCACCATGTGGACAACTCTAGCAGGTGCTGTCTAATCAGCCATTAATACCTTGTAGCTATTTAAATTAAGTTAAATTAATGAAAATTAAGTAATATTAAAAATTCAGTCACACTAGTCAGATTCCAAATGCTCAATAGCCACATGGGTCTACTGGCTACTGTATTGGATGGCAAAGAAAGAATATTTCCATGACTACAGAAAGTTCTTTTGGACATCCCTGGTCTTCATAAATGGCTCCCCCTGGAGTTACACAGGCACAATCAAGAGGAAGGTTGACCTAAGAGTAGCTGGATTCTCAAAGCCTGACATAGAGTAGATACTGTTTACTAAAGGTATATTTTATTTCCAACTAAGGCTATCCATTCCTAGGATTTCAAGTATCTTAAAGTTTTCTGTTCCCTTTAGGAATATGAATTTTTAAGTGTTTCTTTTAGTGAAAAGTGCCCTGAACTGGCAGTTGATACCTGACCTCGTGGTGTCTTACTATGTGACAGTGTTAGTTTCTTGTTGCTGCTACGACAAACTTAGCAGCTTAAAACAACACAAATTGGGGCCGGCCCTGTGGCTCACTCGGGAGAGTGCGGTGCTGATGGCACCAAGGCCACGGGTTCGGATCCCACATAGGGATGGCCAGTTCGCTCACTGGGCGAGCGTGGTGCTGACAACACCAAGTCAAGGGTTGGGATCCCCTTACCAGTCATCTTTAAAAAAAAAAAAAAAAAAACACAAATTTATTATCTTATGGTTTTGTAGGTGAAAAATCTGACATGGGTCTTCCTGGGCTAAAATCAAGGTGTCAGCAAGGCTGTGTTCCTTTCTGGAGGTTCTAGGGGAGAATTTCAGGATTTACCCACATTCCTTGGCTCTTAGCCTCCTTCCATCTTCAAAGCCTGCAATGACAGGTTGTCTTTCTCACATTGCATCAATCTGGCACACTCTTGTGCCTCCCTCTTCCACCTAGAAGTACAAGAAATCTTAGACCCAAGTGGATAATCCAGGATAATCTCACCTCAATGTCTGCCATTTAGCAACTTCAATTCATCTGCAACTTTAATCCCTCTTTATGATATAACCTAATATATACATATGTTCTAGGGAGTAGGACATGGACATCTGCTTTGAGTTGAATGTCCCCCCAAAACTTAATCCCCACTTTAACGGTTGAGGGTGGGAAGTCCTATTATGGTAATTGGAAGGTGGGGACTTGAGGAGGTGATTAGATTGTAGGACCATGCCACAGTGAATGAATTAAAAATGGTGGTCAGGGGCGTGTTTCTGAGGGCTTTAAAATGAGAGTGCATGAGGAACTCCCTTTTTCTCTCTCTGCTCCACCATTTTCACAATGTGATACCCTCCATCACTGTCACCACCACCAAGACCTCTCACCAGCTGTGTTCCCTGGACTTTGAACTTTCCACCCTTAGAGACTGTAAGCAGTAAATTTCATTTTCTTTCTAAAGTACCCAGTTCCAGGTATTTTGTTTTAAGCAACAGAAACGGACTAATGCAACATCTTTGGTGGCTTATTATCTTATCTACCACAGTGATGATGTGTTGGAGTGAGCAGGACTGAAGCCATGTTGAGACCTAGAAACACAAGGGTTGTGGAGAAAACAGGACAGCTTTTTCCTGAGTATGCATTTCTCTGAGTTCCCTCTTTTTCCCAAGGTTATTTGATATTTGGAATATTGGTTACAGGGCAAGATGACATTATTTACATAAATCTAAGTTGTTTTCCAGTCAGCCTGGAGTTGCAAACTTGCCATGAGACACGTACTACCCAGATCATGAGAAACCAAGGAAGACATGAATAAAGCTATGCTGATTCCACACTTAAGCCAAGCAAAATCCTGCAGGACCCTAAGATAATGTCAAGGATGAGAACAGAAGCCAGAAGGAGCCTTGATGAGAATTTGGACCTAGCTCCTTACACGTCCCCCTCCCTTCTACTTTTCATTTCCCACGTTCCATTCCCTCGACCCCCTCTTTAAAATCCCCTCAGTAAATCTGAGTCTTTGTGATGGTTTTAGCCTGGCCATTCTCCTTCAGGTTTACTGGAGAGATGGGTTAGCCTAACAACTCTCCTCAGGTCACTGGTTTTCCTGAATAAAAGGTGACTTCCATTTTCAACAACATGATTTTTGGGTTGTTTGTTTTTCATTGGGGCAGGCAGCAGTAGTCGAGTTTGGTAACAAGATTTTGGCAAGACAAGCAAGCTGAATGTCCTGGGGTAACAGATTTTGGTGGGCTAAGCCAGGGTTTTTGTTTGGGGCAGGCAGCCAGACTTGGGTTTAGTAACAGTTGGGCAAATCACCCTTCAGTTCTGGCTTTTGCATTTGTAAAATTATGACTGGTTTGTATGATCTCTAAGGTCTTTTTCAGCTCTAATGGCTAGGACTCCAAACTGACAAAAGTGAATTAATAGTTATCTGATCTTTCATTGAATTTGAATTAAATAATTATTCTGAAATAACGTAACTCTGAATTTATTTATGACTTCCAAATATATTGGGCTGTAATTCTCCCAAAATAAGTATTGGCCAGAGCCCAACACACACAAAACCAATAACAGGCAACGAACTTTTCCACTTAACATCAGACTGGAGATACAAATAATAAATTTTTAAATGTATGGTACACTAAGTACTTAAATTATAAATTAATGAAGTGGCGTATAAATAAGTTTTAAATAATTCACAAGAAAGGACTTTTTTTTGCAGCTGGCCAGCCCAGGGACTGAACCCTGGACCCTGGTATTACCAGCACCATGCTCTAACCAACTGAGTTAACTGCGTCTAAGAAAGGATTTTGATGAGGGAGGAATGAAGTATATTTTAAATTGTCTATTATACCCCCCCTTTTTTAAACAGTCAAGAGTTTGCCAAACCACTGGATGAAAGTCATGTTATCAAAAAGGGACAATAAACTTCATGTTACCATAACAGTAAGAAAAAACAGTTACCCAAGTGAAAAATCATTCAAATTCAAGGAAATGGAGTTAGAAGAAACTCTAACAGGATTCATTTTTTACTTTGTGACTTGCCAAAAGGGCTCCTGTAGAATAAAACAATATTTGGCCTTTTTTATCTTTTGAGTAATAAAGTAGTTCTGTCTCCTTGACATACTAAAGAATAAGTATTGTGATTAGAAATTAAGTGTTGATTAGAATCTGCTACAGGGCTAAAGGGGGAGAAGAAAAAAGAGAGAAATTAAGAGTTGATAAAAAAAAGGCTGACCAGCTAGTTCAGTTGGTTAGAGCACAGGCTTGTAATACCAAGGTCACAGATTGGGATCCCCAAAACAGCCAGCTGCCAAAAAAACCCCACAAAAAACAAAAGAGTTGATAAAAGGAGTAAATCCATCAGAAGTAATTTTTTGAACCCATTTCCATAATGTTTTATTACCAACGTGTCCTTAATTACCACTGACCCTGTGATCAGTAGTACCTTCCATACTGAAATACTTCTAATAATGTACCTTAGAATTGACATTTTCTACAAATTGTCACAATGTGTATTATGAAGACTGTAGAAGTTTTTTATTTCTTTCATTTAATGATGTAAAACACAAATGCTAACTTGACATATTCTAACATATAACTTTTTCTCTCACATTTACAACTCAACAGATTGATGAATCCAGAGGAACTGCTATAATCACTGTATGGAGCATACCTATAAAGAAGAGGAAAAAAAATAAAACTATAGCATTAACCAGCAAATATATTAAAATTTATCCACTCTGAATAATTCATCTTAGAGCATCAGGGGAAGTCTAGAAAACAAATCTATAAGAGTATCAATACCTCATCTTACTTAAATTTTAACAAAATCTCTTTTATCTGTCTTTTGTCTTTTTTCCGTGTCCGGCAACGGATCGCAACCCTCAGTGTTGCCCCCGTACCGGACCGGGGACCGGCAACGGGATCGCAAGCCTCGGCGCTGCTCCCGCGCCTCGCTCAGCCAGCGAGCGGGAGCCGGTCTGCATGTGGGATCCGAACCCTCGGACGGGAGCGCCGCCGCGCTTCCCAAGCGGCGCACTATCCAGTGCGCCACCGGGCCGGCCCAAAATCTCTTTTATCTGAACTACGAAAGAGCAGCAAAAGCCATCTGGTTTTGACTTAAATGCCTATTTCACTTTTATCTTTTTTTGGGCAGCTGGTCACTAAGGGTATGCAAACCTTTGAACTTGGTGTTACAAGGCCATGTTCTAACCAACTGCGCTAACTGGCCAGCTCATTTTTATCTCTCAATTGACTGACTGGAGTAGTGAAATGGGCAAGGTGATATTAACTTAAAAAAAGAAGCCAAATATTTGGATAATCAAACCTAAAGAGCTGAATTTGAGTGTTATTAAATATGGAAAATATGGAAAACAAAGTATAGTTTGTGATCACTATGTTTATTATCCAGTAGATATGTTACCTACTTTAATCAACCTAATCCATGAAAATTGAGATTTTTAAGAGTGATTTTTTACTTTACAAAAGGATTAATATATATATTAATCAGCTGGCATTCTAACCAGTGTATACAATAAACTCACTCTTTTAAATCATATACCATGCAGAGCATGCTATCTTGTTCACAGGTAGGTTTTATTAGGAATTATCCAATTGGATGTTAGTTGTAATGACAATCACAATAAAATGGTCATGCAGAAAAATACTTAAAAATCTTCTGCCCTTTCTCCGAATATTGTCTCTAGGAATAATTTTAAAAATCTATTGCTTATATACATTCATCCATTCTACACTTCTTTAAAAAAAAGAAAAAAGAAAAAAAGATGACCAGTAAGGGGATCTTAACCCTTGACTTAGTGTTGTCAGCACCACTCTCTCCCAAGTGAGTCACGGGCTGGCCCTCATTCTACACATATTAAACTCCTAGATGGACCAGGCATTCAGCAACTTGCTAAGCACATGACAATTGGACAGGTTCCTGTTCTTGTGGAATTCACACTCAAGAATGGGATATGCCAAACAGATACTCAGAAATATCCAGACAAATAATAACAGCTGGTCATAAGTGCTATAGGCAATGTATAAAGCACTATCAAACTTAAGAAAATAATACAATTTTATTTTTTTGTCTGGCAGCTAGCCAGAATGGGGATCTGAACCCTTGACCCTGGTGTTTATAACATTGCATTCTAACCAACTGAGCTAACCAGCCAACCTAAAATAATATAATTTTGGTTTCATTCTTGTTCCTCCCTTGGTGGCAGCTGGCCCCATTAGCTCAGTTGGCTAGAATGTGGTGTTATAACAGAAAGGTCAAGGGTTCAGATCCCCATTCCGGCCAGCTGCCAGAAAAAAAAAAATTATATTATTTTCTTAAATCTAATAGTGCAAGGATGGTTTCATTCTTAAACATAACTTTCTTTGAACAGAGTCAATGAATAATGATTAAAAGTGATTATGCTAAAAGATGCTTGAGCCAAGGTATTAAAAATTTCATAAATTTGTCACAGACAGGAATATGTATGTTAAAAAGTATAAGCTAACTTAAAAAACAAACAAAATACAGTACTTAAAAAGAGGTCAGATTAGCTTATATAATCTAATCATCCTATAAAATTGTATACTTACTGTACTGGTATTTCAATAGTTTATTCCAACCCATTTCTTCTTTTATACTCTAAAACATCTTCATTATGTTGTTTGATGAGCTACAAATAGTTAACAGTTAAAATTAGAAATGCAGTCTTTTTGGCAACTCAAAGAGGAGGAGTCTAACTCATGATACTTAATGTTTTGCAAGAGGAATAAGCAATAAGCATAGATTAAAATAATTACAACTACTCTTGTTAGAAATAAATGGCGAAGAGATCCAAAGTCCAAAAACCATGAATGGTATACACTTGTTCACCACAATCTGACATTTAAATTTGAGAAGGCAACCTTAACAATTCAAATGAAACTTCTGCCAAAAAAGATTACTTCATTTAGTGGGTAAGAAATGTAATAATGCCTTACCTCAAAGGGGCTAAAACAACATGACACAGCAGAAGTTGGTTATTAAATGAGCCACACTGGTTGGTATATGTGTGTTATACCTCTAATCTTAGAAGTTTGATACTGTGAGTGAATGACCCATCCTCTGACCAACTAATCATATGTGTATTAATTAGATGTCATGAAGGACAGCCACTTTCTTAGAACCATTGTCTGACAGAATACGCAACTGGGAAAACGATTGGCAGAAAATGACATTCACAGCAATCAAAGATAAAATTTCAATCACTAGTGCTCTCAGCAGCAACTAAGCTGCTTTTTAGGAAAAACTTTAAATTAAGAGTGTATGAAATTTCATTATAGCAAACATTATTGAAAAGGATTAGTTATTTTTGTCAAATTTCAAGTAACATCTGTTACTCCTTTCCATGACAAATATCTGAACCACTTTAATAAGAAAATCCAAAATAAGACATTTTAGGGGCGGGGCCGGCCCGGTGGCGCACTGGATAAGTGTGCCGCTTGGGAAGCGTGGCGGTGCTCCCGCCCGAGGGTTCGGATCCCACATACAGACTGGTTCCCGCTCACTGGCTGAGCGAGGTGCGGGAGCAACACCGAGGGTTGCAATCCCGTTGCCGGTCCCCGGTCCGGTACGGGGGCAACACTGAGGGTTGCAACACTGAGGGTTGCAATCCGTTGCCGGACACGGAAAAAGACAAAAGACAAAAAAAAAAAGACATTTTAGAGCTGGAAGTGGAGGGCAGTGAAGAAGCCCCAAACCCATTAGCTATGAAACAAAAATTTTAAATACTAATATAAGAGATACATTGAGTCAACTTCCCAAAATAATTTTATCTCTAGAGAGGCACTGTTCACAGTGGTCTACGGTATAATATGGTCTCTGAAGTTAGGGAGAACTGGGTTCAGCAAACTAATTTCTCCAAGTGTGTTTCTTCATCTGTAAAGGGTCAACAATAACAGTACCTATCACATGGTGTTGTTGAAATTAGTCATGTTTACATGTAAAGCATTTGGCATACAGACAAAAGGAAGTCTAATGGGACTTAATTTGAAAAATTTGTTCACAGCTGGTTTACCCCCAGCCATCTGAAAACCCCAACCTTCCTCAATTCTCATTAAGAAATAAAGTATAATTAATATCCAGTGAAACTGCCATTCCTCACAAAGTCATGCTAAGTAACAATGAATAATAGAAATTTCAGCCTCATCATACTTTTTGATGCTGCTTAAATCGTTAATTTCGTTTTAGTCCTTGGGATTTCCCTTATGGAGAAATACGCTATTAGCGATTACATAAATATCCTATCGTATGGGAGTTTTGCTCCCATACAGTATAACAGCAACATTCGATCTTACACTGCTATCTCATTTTCCCTCTACGTTGGGGTCTCACGACACAGTGGAGTAAAGTACTTACATAGACCCACAGGAAGACGGTGGTGCCTAAGGTCAGCCCAACTTTCAGCCAGTCAGGTTTGTCGTGTAGGGGCTCCCGCACGTAGAACTTTGGCCGCGCTGAAGCTGAAAGGGGATAGAGTCTGTTAATCTGTAAATTATTGCCTTGTATGAAAACGCCTAACATTTACATGAGTATTGTCACATTTAATTATCTCTTTAATACCCCACACACACTTAGCTTAAGGAAGCAGAGGTACAGAGAGGTCAAGTAACTCGCCCCTTGCTACGGCGGAGCTGGACGGGTCTCCTCTATCCTGCAGGACGCCTTCAAGGCCTATTTTAAAGTCCTGCGGACTCTCAGACTAGTCGGGAGTGGGAGGTTAAGTGGCGCCCTTGGGGGTGTCTCCTCTGCGCCTGTCTGCAGAATCGAACTTGCAGAGTTGGGGGAGGAAAGACCCAAGGTCCATTAGCTGAGGGCAAGAGGGGTCAGGAGGCCCTTGAGAAGGGTTGACGGAGGGTGGTGGGGAGCGGAGAGTCCCGGGTAGGTGCAAGCGTGGGCTCCGGGCTCCGGGCTTCGGGCCCCGGATCAGGCAAGGTCACTGGAGGACGAGACCGGGCCGCTGCCGCCTCCAACTCCCGGATGAACGGGTCCGCCTGGGAGAGGCAGGCTGAGGGTCGAGCCGACCTGCACGAGGTGGGACACTCACAGATGCTTGGGAGCCTAGTGGGGGCCAGCAGCCGTGAAAAGGGGCTCAGCAACGCGGAAGGCGCCATCTTGCCAGGCCGGGCTCCGCCTCCTTCCCCACTACCCGACCCCCGCTGTTTCTGTCTCTAGGTCTCTCCTGGAGTCGGCGCCAGGCCCAGCGCCCCCTGGCGGCAGGAAGCGCGGGACTCGCCCCCTCCGCCAACCCAGCTCCGTGGGGGTGTTAACGCGAATCCCAGTCGCCCGAAGGTTCCCTAGCACTTCTGGCTTCAGTCTTCTGTTTGTAAAGTGGGATTAGGAAGGAAAGAGAGAGGAAAAAGATAGTTTATTCACTCCTCTGTCCTCTGAGGGTTTATTTTCACTCCCTTCCCAGAGGCACTCATCAAGAGGTTTACTAAAATCTTCCTACATGAGCCAGAAAACGGAAAATGAAGTGTCGTGCTGAATAATAACTAGCATTTGGATTGAGTTGTTGGTTAGAACACAGCGTTATAGCACCAAGGTCACGGGTTTGGATCCGCATACCAGCCAGCCACCAAAAAAAAAAAAAAAAAAAAA